GAAACTCTCTAGGCTGGTATTCGCAAAAAGCTCTAATTTCTCTTTAGTGTCTCTTATGGGAATAGTAACTGCATGTGGGTAGGTAAATGAGATAAGAATTTTGCATGCTCTGGCTAAACTAAACATAATTAGACATTAATTCTGGCTTTCCCTCAAATGACTTAAGGGATAGTAACTTTCTGAACAGAAAGAAATCATATGGCCCACCTGGCTTGGTGAGCGTATTCACCAACAAAATTGGCTCATTCTACAGAGAGTTTCCAGTAGTAGCTTCAGAGTATGTCTATAACCCATCAGAACTGAGTATCTTGATGCAGATTAGTCTAAAACTGTGCGTTTCTGAGTTTGCATTTCCATGGCAATTAAAGTCTTTAACAGGGCTCCACTTTCATAAATGCCTTTCTTCTATCATACCATCAAACACTCTTGACTCATACTAAAAAACAAAATCACTAATGGTTTTCTAAAGAGCCTGAACAATGTCAGAATGAGGTATGGCCTAGATATTGTCCCTTCGTGTTTGAAATCAGTTGTTTGGAAATATTCTCTGACAGCAGAAATCCCAGAAGGTGATTATGGAAAGGATGATAAGTGGAATTATATACCCGGGGGGGGGCATGAAAGAGGAGTGAGATGGTTTGAATCAAGTTCAAGTTTCAACCCAATGGAAAGCAGCTCTTCCGGCTGTTGATAGGAAACACATTGAAATCCAGATCTATAAGGTGTTATAAGGAGAGGAAGAGGAAATCTTCCTACATGTGCAGGGACACTTACTTAAGCTCTGCCCTCTTTTGTAAAAATCACCTTCTGGCTTCAGTGAGTCATCCTGGTCAAAAGAATAGTTCATCCCCTTTGGAATCACCGTATGGATGGTGGCAAACACTTAAAACTTCACAGGGGATAAAGGACATCTTTTAAATGGAAAACTTTTGCATTGTCTGTCAGTTTGAGAACTCTTCTCTGAATGTCTTTCATTTTATCTATAATTTCCTTAGAAATAAAAGTGATCCTGTTGCAAGTATTCTAAAAGAAGACTTACACTTTATGTCTGTTCTACCACCATCCAAAGTTTATTTTCTTACTTCTTGGTCTGGTAATAATGTTTAAGTTACAGAGTACATGGACCTATCAACAGATCTTACTTATTTAAATATTCATTTTCACAGTTGATTTTCTCCTCTCATCATGCTAGAAAAATGATTACATTTTCTTTTCTAATGGGGTTGTCTCCTATTTTCTCTGTTATCAACCAGCTGGAATATTTGAACCTCTATATATTTTCTACATCACTGATCACCTAGTTATTTTGCCTTTGAATACATCAATGCTTTTGTGATTGATATAAGTATGTATTTGTAGAAACAGAAAGTACAACAGGAAAATTATGAAACAGAAAGTAGGAAACCACAAAATAAAAAAGTTTTGTTTTTTTGGTCACAAAGGCAATTTATAAAATACCAGTATTTGCATCAATCTTCAGGATGTCTGACTAACTCTTTTATTTGAGAAGAAAATAAGTCTTTCTGCCTGTATTTTCTCACTAGTTCCTATCCCTGGAAAGTGTTGTTTTTTTTGACAATCATCAAAAAATGGATATATTTTTCAGAGACACAATTTTAACTTGAGAACTTCTCTCAACTGCCAGTTTAACTAATGTGCCTCATGCTGGTTTTATGTGTTTGTAATTCTTAGTGTTTCCAACATCTCCTCCAATCTCAAAGCTAAATTTGCTATTGGCTATACCCTTCACTCTATTTTTGGTAATAGGTAGTATATATATGTATTCTGCAGCAATTCACATACTTAGGGCTTTTTTTTATCATTTTAATGTCTACAAGCTCTCTCAAGTACTAATGAATCATTTTAACAACCTTGTTACAAAAAGAAATATTTCACTCTGTGCTTTTGATGGGAGTCTATTTAGTTATTGACATAGAGTCTTTGGAGGAACTGAACACAAATTTCTCTGTGGTACCTTGAATTCTGTGTTTCAAAAGGCCTCGACAATTGTGGGATTCAGAACCTCTGTGTTGATCATGTTTATCAATTTGTCATATATCACCTCAGTTTAACAAACACCTCATTTTTATTACATCTGAAGGATTCTTTTGGGACAGGACTATACCATTGCTGAGTATTGAAGACTAATGCAAAGGGTTCTTTGGATTACCCTCATCTTCTGATCTTCTAATGTTTTAACCTACCCACTTATTTTGATTTTCTTTCTATTGCTAGCAATATCCAAGTAGTAGATTTCTGTCCTAAGCCACATTTGAGACAAGAAAGTGCAGGTCATGGTTATGGTTGAGAACAACTTTTGATTATGCAGTAGTTTTCTACAGGATGAGAGGACACAGCCTCAAGCTGTGCCAGGGGAGGTTCCAGGTGGACATTGGGAAAAGCTTTTTCTCTGGAAGACTTGGGAAGCATTGGAATGGGCTGCCCAGGGAGGTGGTGGAGTCACCATCCCTGGAAGTGTTCAAGAAATGACTGGACGTGGCACTTAGTGCCATGTTCTAGTTGAGAAGGTGGTGTTCTCTCAAAAGGTTGGACTTGATGATCTTGGAGCTCATTTTCAACTTTAATGTTTCTATGATACGACAAAGATCAAAAGAATACAAATTCTGCACCTTCATGTAACATTCATTATCTGAAATAAAACAATAATTTTGCAAGCTTGCACAGCTTACAAATGACCACTAGCAGAAGAAGGCTGGGTTTTGCATGAAGGTATTGATTTTCAGCAAGGGGCTACCACAAGGAATGATAATTTTGTTCTTTTACACTGCCCCAGGCATGGAAAGTTCTCTTTGCAAATTGACAAGTCTGCCGGGGGCCACCTCTCACAGGGTTTTGTTATTAAGTAATGAATTTCTAAGACATGAAAGATCAATAGTTTGATGATTTTAGTTATACCTGATGCTCATAGTCCACCTGTATCATCTTTAGTGTGCCAGTGTTTACATATATATATATTTTTGTATTGGTATGATGCACACCATGAGGAAGAAACAGTAAAATATTAACATGTGAATTATAATATTCTGTTAATAAAAGTTTACATGAACATTTTCCAAAACCATGGAATTTTTTAAAATTGTTTACATGGGTAATAGGAACTTAGCATGAAACGGTAGATAGAGCTACAGCTCTCTTTTGTGGAAGTATCTCATTATCTGTCCCTTAAAAGCCCGCAGTGGTGTGAGACTGAAAAACAACAAAACTCAAAACTTTGCCTGAACGAAAATTATCCCACGTTTCTAAAAAAAGGTTACCAAAAACTATATCCCTTTGCCACAGTCTGTTTAATTTCAACTGTGTGCCAATTTACAGAAGTATTCTCTAGTTTTCTGGTTACTTTCACCAGTAACCAAACACAGTCTTGACCCTTTTCCATACATGAAAACAGCCAACCGTGAGTGCAGCAATGGGAGGTCTGGCCTTTCAGGTATGTCAGCTGAAGACCACCCTACTGGAAGAGGTAACAAGAACAAAAAGCCGAGGTCAAACAAGGCAGCCCCATGTAATTAGATACTAATAGTGGATTTAGGGTGTAAAATTCACTTAAAACCATACACCAACAGACTAAACAATCCCAGTAAGAATGGCAAGTTTTGTTCTGAAAAAATGTTTTCAATACCAGAAAGCATAAATAAAACATACATAATAACCTTGACTGACAGACTGCACTAACCTGTGGTAACATCTGCTTCCAGATTATTTGCTATTGTTTTGGGATAGTACAGTTATAAAACACTGAAACTCTACTGTAACTTACAGTACAGCGTGCATCCAATTTCATGATTTTATTGTTGTATTCACTTGTTGTCCCAATAACAATTTTTAAGAGTTTTAGTTCAACAGGAAAATTCTTTTCTTAACAGCAAAACCAAAAATACAAGTCTGACTGTATCTGATACTAATGGAGAAATGTGCTGAAGTAGATGCTGAAAAAAATAGACAGTAGCTTTTGCAGGGTATGATGGGGTCAAAATAATTATACAACAAACTTCACTTCTACTGGCTCTTTCATTTTGTGTTGATTTCTGATGCTTTTTCAGGATGGATGTGCTACTTTCACTTGGCAGACTTGGTCTGATAGAGCAGCAAGATCCATCATGAAGAAAATGGTATTCCCCCAGCCAAAGTGAGTGTCTGCTAAGTCGTCAGATCTTACTGCTGCTGGGGCCCCTGGGTCATGTTGGGGACTGGCTTTTTTTTGCATATTCTCTAATATTTTCGTAGTTCCAGCTGCTCTGCAAAGATCACATCTCAGGAAACTTTGGTTTGATAATTTTAATTTATCCTCATTTTAAAACTGGTAAATTAGTCTAAATAATTAGACCAATCCTATTAAATCTGAGTCTTATAAATCACTTGAGTGGGATTTATGAGCCTTTTAGAAGCAGAGTTATAAGAACCGTTAAAGAACTTCATGTATTTCTGGCACACAGCCCAAGGACAAAGGATTTCCTTCCTTGGGGCTCCAAACCTGCCCAGGGAGAGACAGGTAAATGCAGGGAAGGACACTGAAAACTAGTAAGCAGGGACACTTCACACCCACTGAGGACTGAGTGAGGCCTCTGTGTTATTCCCCATTGGTGGTATCTCCTATACAACCAGAGAGATATTTGGGAAAGGCTGAACTAGTCCCTTAGAACTTACTTGTGGCAAAACTGACACTAGCTAGTACTGTCAAATGATTTTCTGTAGTTGCTTAGAATAGGTATTGCCACCCAGTACTAATCTTTTGAGCCAGCTCCTGTTGTGCATTGTCCCACCATGGTGTCAAGTAAGGAAGCAGTAGCACCGCTGGAGAATTCCAGCATCTGCTTTCATCTGGTACCTAAAAGCCATTTGGCTTCAGAACTACCAGGACCATCCCTTTTTATTGAACGCCACTATTGCGTAATTCAGCCACAAGGAAAGAACTACAGCTACCTTTTGGTTTTTAACCAGTTGAAGGAAAGGCTGATTTGAAAGAGAAATGCAATGCTCACCTCTTTGGGTCAACAATCTTGTAGAGTTTTCCGCTGTGAGGCTGTGTCATACTTTTACTGCTTGATAATATGTAAATCTCACCTGTTAGGAAAGCCAGTGCAATAAATTAGTTCTCCTTTTCTAAGGAAAATACATGACTTTTGTGATCTAGCTGTATTTGCCAAATGAGATTAAAAAAACTTCAGAAGAAACACTCGACACTGAAATATACAGCAGAACCATTGGTATTTGAAAATGTATATAAGCACTCTACCCAAATTGATGCTAAAACGTGATATATATCTTATCACGAGTGTTTTATCTTTCATATAGTATAAATTGGTTAAAAAAGGTAAAATTTGTGAGGAAGGGAGAAGAGGGGGATCAGTCTGCTCATTCAATCTCTTTGCCACTTAAGTCTGTAATGTTGGGAATAAAGGCAAGTATATGATACATTGTGTCATAGTGAGTGACAGTTCACAGGGTGTGAGAGACAATAAGGACCTTTGACCCTTCCAACCACACATTCTCTTCTCTGTTCTTCTTACAAGGCTGCTGAGGTGTAGCTGAGAGCAGTGTAGACAGCTTTGGTAAAGGAAAGATAGCCTTCTTTTTAAACATTTACTAGAATTGTGAATACTTCAGCAGGCATGACTAATAAGCCTTATGATTTAAGAACTTTTTTTAGTATTTACCTAATTCATCTTCACCAAATCCCAAGACAGGGCCTGAAAAGAAACCTCTACACGAGCCAGTGTTGCCAAGACAGAGGGGTTTCTCTTGCCACTGTTTGGTTGCAGGACTCTGTTGCAGTGTTAAAAAATTTCTATATTCAAGAACACATAAAACAAATTGTTACATTATATTTGGAATAGAGAGTTTTCATTGTCCAGATAAATAAGTAAACACTTTCTGCAAGAAGCTCCATAGATACATCTGTGCAGTTCATTGTCTTATGATTTATTTTTCAGATGCTTAAAAGCCATCCAGTCATTCAAATATTGCAAAATTGTGTTCAAGCTATACTCCACAACCATTTGTGAATATTCAGCTATCTGGTATGGGGAAACTATGCCCATTCATTACAGAAACATTCACATTGCTCCATCAGTGATGTTTCCATAAAATCCCAAAAGTTTTCAATGTCTTACCAGTTGGTTTGGGAAACAGTTTCAGGATTAATTCCCCTCATAGTGTAAAAGCTGCATGTAAGCATATCTAGAACTAAAATCTTAAGAGAACCATGATGTGAGTCTCTCGGTACTTTTTTGCAAGGCTTAACTATGTTATGCATGTCACCATTAGAATGCTGTGCTATTTTATTTCCAAATCCAGAGTTTAATCTGCATTTATCCCAGTGCTAACCTGGCAAAGTGACACAATGTACAAGACCTTCGGTGGTCCTTCATACAGGCAGCTGAGTGGCTAAATGTACCCTAGAGGCATTTGTGTTTAAGAGTGAGCTGTAAGAAACGTACCCATTGCGGTCTCCAAACACGTAACTTCCGTAGAGTCTTTCCGACTGGCAGCCTCGATAGACAAATCCACCAACCAGGGATCCACTGCTGAACGGTTTGAATTCTAAAAGTGAAGGCTCACTTTCTAAAAAGGAACTACCGTAGCATTAGATCACATGCAGTCTCACATTGATTCGCATTTATGAAAATGCTGTTACTTGAAGAAAACAAGGTTAATTCCATTTAAAGATTCCTCAAAGTTCAAGATGTGTTGCCAGAAATGAAACATTTAAAAAAAAAAATAAAGTCGTGAAATTACAACCAAGTCTATTTGTGAAACAATCCATTAAAGACTTTCAATAGGAGAGGCTATAGTTGCTTGTCTTCCATGTGCACAACCTGGGACAATAAAACTACACAAAGATTAGGTTGGACTTCCATTGAAATTGATGTTGTTACTGCTATTAATTTCTAATGTCAATACAGTCTGCAAAATGGATCTCTTGAACTTCAGGAGCCCAATTTACCCCCCCTTTACTGTAAAGTCCAGTAACTAAGAGCAGAAATTCCACTGATTTTCAACAAAACTTGTTTTCAAAGCCTTTCAGTGGTTTGAGAAATTCTTTCAAAATCAGAGTTTTAAACATAGTGAGTGTTTTACATCCCATAAAAACTAATATAACTTGCCATAGCTTCTTGTAGCAATTTTACCCTGTTGCTGTAGTTTCAATTCCTATACATTTTTTCTTCTTTTTTCACAAAGCTGCAGAGTTTAGTCCTATCAAATAATTCTTCCAGGGAGTTTCAGTGTACATTTTCCAATTCATTTAATCAAATACTGCTTTGGGTAAAAGTAGGCTCAATTTGACATGATAACTGCGTAATTTTAAATAAAAGCCACAGCCAACAGACCATTTTGTTTTATAGGAACTTTTTTAGTCAGAAGGCTATCTGCAAGTCTTTGGTAAATGCATTTTCCAGATTATTCTACAAGAGTAAGACCTGAAATTTTATGGGGGAGAAAAGGATGATGAACTCTTTTTATTGAAGGAGTTGACCCATAGCCTAGTATTAATATTGGCAAGCTGTTCTGGATAGACACAGTATTGCTTAGTTTACTCTGCAATAAAGATGCAGTCAAAATTCCATTGGAGCAGTGGTTAACCAAATATTATTCTTTGGTTTGGCTTTTGTAAAATGGACACAGAAAATGCACACAATAACTGAAGCAGTACAATTGCATGATACTATTGTGTACTGTTGTACTAGACAGCACAGCTGCTTTGCTTGTAAGTAAAGTACAGGTGGGGGAACCAGGGATGTGAATAAAACCAGAAAATGCTGCATTCCAGGAGATAGACCAGTGGCATTTATCACATCTTACCATCGTGGATTTACAAGCTGCTAAATGGTCAGTCAAGGGGGATGATGGCTCAGAGTAGCTGTCACCTGGCTTGCCTGAACTAGCAAGTGACCTTAGTGAGTGTCAGAGTTAAACATTAAACTAAAATTGTGACTGACAGTCATACTAATTCAGAGAGAACATGAAATGCTTTAATAATTTAAAGTCCCTAATTGAGTATATTTATCTTTTTGTCATCTAATCTAAACTAGCCATTTATCATGAAGTAGTAGCATAGAGCATTTTTCTAAGTTTTTTATTTTTAGTAACATTTAAACAGAGCTCAGTCACTTCCCTGTTTGGCTGAGGTCTGTTGTTGTCTCTCTCATTTTTTCCATTATAGGAGGTCCATTACATGAGGTTTCCATTCTGTCTTAAAAGGTTATTTATGAATGACTAAGAATACATTTTCATCACTTCCTGATATTCCAAAATCTTCTCTTTCTGAGCCAATATATGCACCAACAGTTTGACCTTTGATGGACTAGCAACCGTCAAATTTGTTAAATCTTATTTACATAATATTCTACACCAACAAGAACAAAGTTGAGTCATTGAAATTTTGTTTTGTCCTGAATCTTTTATCTGCTTGTACCTTGAAGTTCTACCTTGAAAAGATGGAACTTTTCAGAAGTTCTATCTTTGGTAGGTTATCTCTTCTATCTATGTTCTAAGTTTCCTATCATGGCTATACAGTCCTTTATCTATCTTTTCTGCTTTCTATTTATTATTCCATGGGCATAAAAACTGACTGTTCCCAGCAGCTTTACCCTGGATGGAACTTACCATAGTCTTTGCCCTTTATTATTTGTAAGATTCTTGCTGAAGATCTGTTCTTTCCATTTGAATCTGAGCAAAGTATAGTTAAATTGATGTTTACATCAGTTGGATGGCGGTCCACAGCACACCTGTAAAACAAAACAAAAAAAGAGAAGAAAATCCATGAAATAGATGAGTTCATAATTTGAAATAGTATGAAGCATCACATTTTTAAATATTATTGTGTCTTTTTGGTGCCTGCTCCTGTGAGGGACCTATTTTATAAGGAGCCAAAATATCCAACAATGTGTTAGATTCAGACCCAAAAGATATTACAACTTTCCCATTCCTACACCATTTTTTATATAATCTGATGTAAAAATAATTTTTCCTAGTAATAAAATGTACTCTGCTCTAAAGCACCTGAAATGAATAGTGCCTTAACCAAGCAAAATGAATTGACTTATATGGTGTAGGAATTTTGGACTGTTAAAAAGTCCAAGAATCAACTCCTTATCTGAACAACTTGACTTTCTGATTTTTTTCAAACCATGACTTTAAATGTCACTTCAGTACTACCACCCACCTAATTCACTGAATTATGTGTTGTTTAGTTAAAGCATTGTTCTCCTCCTTGCTGTTGTTTAGATATCACCAGATGTTCTCATTTGTTTTCCACGTGCCTATTATTCCCAGTCAAGATTCCCATCTCAGCTGTACTTTACCAACCCTCTGCTTGAAGCTCTTTTCTTTCATAAGGGTAGTCATTTTATCATTCATTAAAACCAAAAATCCTGTACTTCATTTCTGTCACTTTGGTCTTGACTTTTAGTAGTTGTGCCTGCTCTTCGCTTTCCCCTTTGCCAATGTACATTTGTTTCTAACTGTGAAATATGTGAGGAGAAGGAGGAGTGGAGGATTTAAAAACTTCACGAGTGCCTTTATTATTAAAATGTTGTTACCTGACTGTATAAAAAATTTCTGGTTGAAAACAGTATCTACTCCAGAGTAATTCAGTGATTCGGAAACTTACTTACCGGCCTGGATTGTGGAGTCCATGTGCAAAAATCTCAGGAGGTTGGTTTGTGCTATTGAAATGTGGGTTGCTCCGTGGTATGGAATAAGGGACGTTGCACAGGTCAGTATTTACGTCGAGGCGCAAGACAGAGCCTGTAAAATCACTGAGAGAGGTGGAGGATAAAATAATTGGGTTTTTAAAAGTATTTTACTGGTAGATTTAATCCATATAATACTATAGTGAGACAGAAAAATAAACCACCCACTTTTACTGATTAATCACATATAGATTGATTTTATGGTACGTGCAAGTCCAAAAAATAATAGCAGAGCCTATTCAAGATTCAGTTGTGGCCAATATATTGCCTTGTTATTTACTAGAACACCTCTGACCATGGTGTTGGGAAGCAACTTGATCATAAGAACAACTTTCCAAACATCAGCATTGTTTTATGGCTTCAAATATCTCCTCTAGAGTAACTGTGCTTAATGCTTTTTGCTAACACTTTGAATCCTACTCTTGAATTCAATGATTTCTAGCCACAGTACAATCCAAAGACTAATTACATAGAAAGAAAGCAAGCAAGAAATAAATTGTATTGCTTGAATGGAAATGTTGAATTTTTTTTTTTTTTTTTGGTAAGCATTCAGACCTTTCTTGTTACATGAAACAGGAGAGAGTAAAATGTTTTACATTATGTTCATGATTGTGATGGAAGAAAGGACAAGGAGTAGATCATCAAAACTCTCTTTATAAACATGAAAAGATGTGATATTTAAATTGATTCCTTTCTGTCTTTCTTCATCATTAATTTGTTTCAGTCTTCTCTTGTTTTACATTAATTTAAAACCAAGTATTAGAATTGCCCTCTGCCCTGGGTTTTAAAGTATATCCTTATACTTAAAAAATACTTAAAAATTGCAGGAGCACCTGCAATTTTGCTGAGCCAAAGAGGCCTTTGAACAGCAACTCCTTTTAGGTCTGTAAAGGCTCAGTACCACACCTTCTCTAAATTAAGACAAATAGTGCAACTCTAACAGAGAATAATGAAGCAGAGGGAAAAAGCAGGTTGGGAAAATTTTAAAGGTAGAACCAAAGTAGGATTATTTCATATGTTCTCTGGACATTTTCCTAAGTGATGCATTGTTGTTATTGACTCTGGTATGTGTTTGTAGACACATTTTGGAATCTTTGCTCAATACAGTTGTTCTGTTCATAGAACAACAGTTCAGAAAACAGAAGCCTAAACAAAATTGCATTTACTGATGAGGACTCCAGTATTTAAAGGATTTGATAGCACACAGCTACAAGAAGATGTATTTAAGCAGTCAGACTGTTCTGAAAGTCAGCAGTTTGCAAAACCCAGGCACTGAAATAAGTAGGATTATTTAGTAAAGGATGAGGGAGCAAGATTTGTCCTGACAACTGCTGATCACTTTGGATTCTGACCCCAAATACTGTGCAAAGACAATAATAGAAGTCTATCCATTGGTAGTTTTTGTACCTTAAACCATCCATCTCTTCCATGTCATCTAGAGTGATCATGCCATCTCCAAGAAAAATGTATAGGAAACCATCTGGGCCAAACAGAAGCTGTCCTCCTAGATGTTTTCGATGTAGTTCTGCTACTTCTAAAAACACTCTTGCTGTCCTCATATCAACTTGGTGTGGATTTTTCCTGCAAGATAAAGATATGAGCACAGTTTTCACAGTTCACTATCAATGTACTTCTTTCTAAAAATAAACTTGACTCATTCAAATTATGCTTCGAGATGTGGATGTTGTAACTTGGTGGAAAAATGCCAAACAGTTGTTTCTGAGAAATTTCAATTTTGTAGCATTCACAGAAAAATTATTTTGCTGCCTATACACAATAAATAGGAAATAATTATAATTAAAAAAAAAGTGAGAAAATAACTAAAAAAAAAAAAAAAAGGTCTTAAAAAGAAAAACCAGTGTACTTACTGGCATTTCAAAACTACTGTTTGAAATAAAACCCACAATAGTTTTTCTGCAGGTGCCCAAGTATATACGTTGTAAACCCGATAGCTTATTTTAGAGATGGGAAATACTAAAATGCAAGGGTTGCTAAGAAATACAGAATTTGTGAATTTTAGACTTTTACTGATACCTGGATACTGTGTATTCTACGACCCTAAGGATGTGGTCATGAGGTCCAATAGCCCACCGTTCTTGGTTGGTGGTATAAGACACATACAGCTTTCCATTTTTCTTGTAATTGGGATGGAATGCAAGGCTTAACAGTCCTCTTTCATCTCCTCCCTGCAGTCAAATGAAAAACACAAAGAATTGTGAAGTTAATTATGTTCTTTATTGTGTTTCAGCTGGAACCCAAAAAAAAAAGTTTCTTTCTTGTGGATAATCTTTCCCCAAACTCTTTTATTTCTTTCCTGACTACTGCACAAAAAGGATTATAAAACATTTCACTTTGGGGAAGTCTTTAAGAGTTAGAACAAGACAATTGCCGTATGTAGTTATCTATGCACAAGTCTGTTGCACCACTTTTGTGGAGTGATTTGTGTATGTAATCTTTGGGAAGCCATGAAGACAAGTTTAAGTGCTGTGAAGGATTCTTTGCTGGGTTACTGGGTTGCTTGTAATTCGTAGAAGACGAATAAAAAGGTCTCTAATCAGCAGTCACTTCTAATCCAAGTATCCAAAACCTAAAACATAGTGCTGGCTGCCAACTCCCACTGTCTTGGCAATATGTTTAGAAAACAGTTAAATTGCTTGTGTAATATGTAAACCTTTGTTTTACCCTGGAGGCAGCAACATCAGTTGTCACAACTATGGTGGTCTGTTCATCATAGCTAGTGTACTGTAGGTAATAAGCAGCCTTGGTCTCTGTGCAGAGAAACCATAGTTTTACATGTGGTCCCTCACTGGAAAGGTTTTTTTGTTATTTTTTTAAAATAAAAATAGAAAAATCTCGGAACAACTTTCTTTTGTTATTATGTTTGCCATAAAGATTAGTACAGTTACACGTTAAGCATCCAGTCCATGTAATATATTGTGACAATGCAAATACTCTGTGTACTTAAAGAGAAGGCAATTTTCTTTTTGGCTTCTAAAAATGTGTGTTAATATAACTATGCCTAAAGTTATATTTGTATAAATGAAGAATAAAACTTAAGATTCATTTGTTGGTTTTGAAGTAATACAAGGGAGTGAAGCTGAGGCAGAGAAATAAACACAGTACATAATTAACAATTCAAATTCGATTCATATATGTGATTATTCACAAGGTGAGAGTTGTCTTGCAGTTTAACTCAGGGCTTGCCAGCCCTTCAAAACTAGTGACTCTGTTGCAGATTCAAGTGCTCCACTTCTGCACCCATAAGGAGACAACATTTTGCAACTCCAACCACACCCATGATAACTAATTATGAAATTTTAAATTATAAGAGAGAATGAAGCTTTTAAAATGTATTTGCACTTCAGAGTGATGGATGGGCCTGTCTTCCTGTTGAAAGTCATCCCACAAAAGGCCTAATTGGGAAAGTGCACAGCTTTAATTTATTTTAATTCAACATGATTGCTGTACTTCCTTTTTAATCACAACCACCAACGAGAAACCTGAGTCAGAAAGGGAGATGTAAATAGGTCAAGAGATTTCCATACAAACAGATTTGCACAATGCAATCTGGATCCTGCTAATTTAGAGGCAGCCAAAATTTGCTAGTTTGTTTGTTAGAAAAATTTAGTTTCAGGGGGTTATCAGAGAGGTTAGTTTTGAAAGTCTAGTTAGAGCTGCCAAATCAGTTGCAGTCATCATGGATGAAGGGACTGGTAATCTAGCTCTTTCTCCCTTATGAGCCAAAAATAATTCTGCAGCTGAGTCTGAACTGATTGTAGATATTATTGTTTGAGTTTTTAAGAGTTTTGACCAAGCTGCTCTGATAAAGTCTGAAGCAAAGGGAGGCAAATCGGTTTCTTTGGGAACAGGAAGGCATATTTCAAAGATTCCTGACGAATGATTCTATCTGTTGTGCCCAGACAAAGACAGTCCTATTTCTTCTCCTGAGAGATGAGTTCAACTCCTTTAGGGGCCCAGGAATGTCAATGAGTCACACTAGGTCTGCCATGCAAGGTGAGTTATTGAAAGTATTAGTAAGAAAAGATCTTTCTGTTACTAAGCTGAAGATTTTATTTAGTGCTTGATGCCATGGCAGCCGTCTCAGTGTGAAAGTGAAGTTGTTGAAAGCGTAAACAGGTGAAAATTAAATTAAGAGCTTTTAATGAAGTACACATGAAGCAAGAATTTGAAAAATGAATGAAAAACGAGACTTGCAAAGTAGTAACTATGGCAAATTGTATTCATAGGATCAGGCCACTATTTCTACTCTTTGCTGTCTTGTGTGACTCTATTAGACTGTAATATATTACTTAGTTTGTGGAATGTATCTGTTGCTTCCTGAAAAGTCACTTTGCTGGTTTTTTTTGAAGTGAGACATACACATTTTTTTCAAAAAGTCTATTTACTCATGTAGTTAGTAAAAACTTCATGAATATCCCTCCAAGATACTGAAATCAGTGCAGTATCAAGCCATTACTTGACTTATGGTAAACTCAAAACCCCGATGAGTTTTTCTATATTTATTTTTCCTGATTTTGGAAAATAATTTTTCATGTGTATTTTCAGCTTTATCACTAACTGGCAAACCCGTTCTTTCCACTTAAATCACTGACACAACTTCCATAGCTTTTGAAATGTTCTCTATGTGCCAGAAAGTATATAGAGTTTTCTCTAGTGTTGTCTCATATATTGTGGGGTACATTGAGAGATATTCAGCAAAATCCCTTAGGAGCAGTCATTTTAGTACTATCAAACTGAATAACTATGTACAAAACTTCAGACTTTCTCTATAGAATATTCCTCACTTTTAAGTTTTTATCAATGGACTTTTGATGTGAAACCAGCATCCCAGGCTGTATAGTCTTTCTTGTAGATAACATGTGTCAGCTTAATAACTTATTGACAGCCTCTCCTTTTAAAGTTTCCCTTTAGATGAAACCAGCACCAACAAACTGTAGATGGCATAGGAGCTTGTATGAGATTCTGCGCTGCACTATTTGATGGAATAACCATTAATGTTTGTCAGTTGTGTAAGGAAGGGCAAGAAGAATGAGACAAATCTTTATATTCCATTGGGATGTCTGTTGAAGACAAAGAATGATGGTTGGCTGAAATGAGTATTAATTACTTAAACATACTGTGGACTGGGGCCAATGTGAAATTTCTGTTGTAAGGAAGTCTGGAAGCCGACACTCTCCGTGCTGCTCTGGAGCTTGAACGCTCCTCTCTCCTCTTCACGGTAATGACACGTTTTGCACCAACACCACACTGACTTCAAAACTGATTTCCTTGGGCCAGGTTATATGTTTCAGCTAAGGAGTTCTGTGAAAGGGTCTTTAAACCCCTTTAAGTTTAAGTTTAAGTTTAAGACCACAACCATGAAAAGAATTTAATCAGAATTCTATTGTTAGTATAAAGCCAAGCAAAGATTAATTGTAGGCATTAAACAAAGTGTTTCTTTACTTTTCAGTTTTAAATGGTTGGTTAGCTACATTATGTCAGTTCTGAAAGTATATTACACCAGTAAGTGTTCTCAACTTAAATATATATTTGATATATGTGATTTTTGATATTTCTTTTTTGCATTGGAATTTTTGTTATAATATATTTACACTTGTAAAAATCTTAAACAAGTGCACAACATGATCCACTTTGTATTTTGACTTACACTAAGAGAAGGAATTGTTGCATGTGAATATTATAGAAAGGTACTATTTTCATGTAACCACTCCTTAGAAGTGGTCTCTACTTTCAACCTGTGTACTTATAAATGTACTCTGGTATATCTCTGATATTATAGATAGAAGTTTTATTACATTATTAAGATATTATACTTTTTCTGTAATACAGAAACATATGTTGCAGTTATTTTTAAGACACGTTGCCATTTAATTATGTCAATACATGTGTTATTACCTATAGTAAAGAGAAATACACAGGAATGCTTTAACTGGTATTGTTAAATATTTGATTTAAAACAGATCATATTGTAAGTATGACCCCTAATTATGTAACCTTAACAGTAATTAATTCTAGTAAGCAAAACCAGATATGACCATTTATTTCTGTTACTCTATATGCCTTAATAGTAAGCAATGTAGGCAGAATATTCCAAGTCTTTCTTTAAAATTGATTTCATAATTCACACTCTTATAGAATCCTTAAAAAATCATTGTATTTATACTTATCAGCTTTTTCATCTGAACAATCCCACTGTCATGCTGGAAAGGAGTAGCAACCTTTTTTAAAAGGGGTTGTGCTTAAAATATGCATATTCAATGGTGACTCAATATTTTAACTTTATTGTAGTGCCTTTGTATTGTTTGTTTTCACCTATTATTATAGTGCAAATGCTGGGTAACTTGTTGAAGTAGTAGGATCACCCTTAATTTAGTTTATTTCCTATATAATAAATATCATAACCAATATGCATTGCCATCTGTTTGAGCTTAAGGAGTAAGATTGTAAAGATTTGTAAAAAAACCATGGCTGAAGGGGTCATGGAACACCTAAATCTCTTATCAGGCAGCACCACATGAACTCTTCGGGAAGAGATTCAGTAGGGCTGAAGATCAATGTCAGGTATGTTTCTCAGTGGGAAGTGTTTGCTTAATGGACATATTTTGGAAATTTGGCCCTAGCATGGGATAGAAATTTGACTCCAGCAGAAGTAGAAGCCTGCAAAAGGCCTGCTGCAAGGGTACACCTTGCCTTTCAAAGATGTTTGGAGAAGCACAGGAGGGAAGTGCCTCTGACCGGCGAGAGGGGACAACAAACACAGAGTGACAGAAGTTGATTGTCGGTGGGGTGGAAGAGTAGAGCTCTTGGGTGTTGAGAACTCAAGTGCTTTGCTATCTGTGGGGCCTGAGGCCTCTGGCAAAGGAAGGATTTGTAAGATAAGAGATTTAACTTAGGGGAAAATAATTACCTTTATGTCATGGCTCAGCATAGTATACATACGAGACCCTATCTCCAAAGCATTTCCCTTTTCCTGTTGGGTTGCAGAGCTTCACTATTTTCCTTGTTTATAAAGGGCTTTACACTTGTCTAAGGATTTTTTTCAAAACATTTTCAATATTTTTTAGTGATTTTAACAAGTGCACTATTTTAATACTTGACTTTAAAATAACTATAGACACAGGAATGCTTTACAATTTAATTTATACATGAAAAATATTTAAAGGGC